TTGTACAAGTACATATTTTTGTACTTAAACGTTTTTTACAAATTAACCCTAACCCCATGGGCCAGAATTAAAATTGTTTTGACGAAGCAGTGTTAAGGACACTCCTTGAACATTTTATAATTTGCGATAGTGAGCTGAGACATATTTGATAAAATCTGCAAATAAAATGAACAATATACTACAGAGCCAGGTTAACTTCAGTAAGGGACGTACACTGTACGTCATAAAGCACTCCGCATGTTTTGCGGCGCGAATTCATTCACATTGAACACACTAATTTCAGCAAGGCAGGTTTTGAGGCAAACCTTTTCTTAAATCACTTCCCACTAGCATTAAGGCCAGAGCTTACTATGTGGGCAAATTCAAAAGTGAAGCAAATTTGTGACCGGCTCTAGAAAAATGGGTAATAAGTCGCCAGATTCAGGTTATGAGTTTTGGATATGGCTGGATTCTGTCCATCAAAAGCTACAATTTGATACATACGGTAAATGACCCCTATAGTGCATTGCGTTCTGGATATACATGTACATGTCTAAAGACATTTGTATATAAACCACATTTTTGAATTCAATAAAAGCACTTTCTGAGAAAAACTCTTGAATCATAGCGCTTGGAAAACAATGCTATGTAGGATTTCCTACTGAATGATCCATTTTTCATCTTTATTCATCAGTATCCATGTTTGTAGTCACAAATTCTGACAATATAAATATTATAGAAACTATTAAAGGAAAAAACGCAAAATCGCCTTTTGGAAGAAATGCTGCCCTCTCCAAATAGAAAAGGCCATAACATGTTTTGGCATTGCGCGACTTATTACCGCTTTCTGCAGAGCAGATCACATTTGACACCACAACAAATTTGCAATGAAATCCACTAGAGTTGAAATGTGTTCAACTTTTGTGAACTTGCAACGCGAATATCTGAATCTTACATGTGCATGTACATGTACATGTGGGTCACGAAATTGCACTCACAATGACCAGTAAGACATTCCCGCAAACGTGCAGAAGAACATGTTACAGACAGCGTTTTGTACATGTAACTCCCTGTAATTGAAAACATTAGCTACAAGTACCGGTACATGTACATGAACGTGTTGTATACGTGTACAACATATCGCATGTGCATGTCGCATTTGTATAAATGTGCTCAATTCTAAACGGTTTAAAATTTAAAAAAAAAAAAACTCCTGGTACTCATACCCCCTTCACAAGTCTCTGTAAATCCACCACCGGTCCATCACAAGTCTCTGTACATGTAAATCTACCACCGGTCCATCACAAGTCTCTGTACATGTAAATCTACCATCGGTCCATCACAAGTCTCTGTACATGTAAATCTACCACCGGTCCATCACAAGTCTCTGTACATGTAAATCTACCACCGGTCCATCACAAGTCTCTGTACATGTAAATCTACCACCGGTCCATCACAAGTCGTTCAGTCTTAAGCCAATTCACAAGCTACCTGAAGTCAAATGAGCTGTGACAGAAGCATTCTTTTGTCATTGTTCACTCTGTTACATTTGCTACCGGGTACTTAGGATTAGCCTTGTGAAGGAACTTGTGGCGGGTCTTGTGAAGGGACTTGTGGAAGGACTTGTGATGGACTCGAATACAACACTGACATGCACACCCATAGATTAAACAAAAATGACATAAACACACACACACAAACCAGCAATTTGGTTTCCTCTTACCACTGAACAGATCACGGTGTCAATTCAATGATCTGATCCTAAAGTCATCTGCAACATGTGGGCAAAAAATATGGCCAAATCTACTTATATATTTCCCACAGGTACCGGTAGGTAAATGTAAGGGCCAATGAGCTCTGTGGAAACTGATCACCTCCCTCTCCCCCCCCAAAAAAAATGAATTCTGCCACGAACTTGTACTTTCGTCATTTACACGTGCACAGTTCAGAGAAAAACCACAGCAATGGAGAGCTAACTCATCCTACCAGGAAATCAGTAACTGGTTCCCACTAGTACTATACTTTATTGTATTACTAAAGGATTGTGCTCAGCAAGGTACATGTACGTGTACTTTCTTTTTTGGGATACCGGTGGGGGTGACACTTTTGTACATATTTTAGGGGCCAACAAAAGGGGTCGCCTTTGCTTTCATTTTTTTTTTTTCTCGGGAAGACTCCACTTATTTGTGAGGCTTGAGGTCGCAATTGTGAACCCCAATTTAAATCCCAGTTGGACAGTAAACAGTGTGGCGATGATGTTACCATCATCCTGTCATAATGAACAGGCCCCCACTTCACAGCATATGTGTCTCGCCAAATCACGTACCAAAAGCCTGTGTCCGGTCAGCAAACTCAACCACCTCCGCTCACCCCCAGTTTTACTCCATAAGAATTACATGTATGTGTAGATTTCCTAGCCATCCTGAGACTAAGTGTTGTACACAACCCAATAGACATGTACCAAGAAAGGCTCACCCCTTTTCTTTCCCTCATTCACCAAATCCCCCGTAGCGGACCCACAGGCAGATCTGTGAAAATCTTTGCCCGCTTTTGCCAGAAAGTCTTTTCCCATTTGTGTGAAAATGTGAGAAAATCTTTCCCACTTGTATGAAAATCTACGAAAATTCTTTCCTGAATTTGGAAAAAATCTGTGACCAAAAAAATATCTTTTCCCAATTGGGGAAAAAAATTACCTATGAAAATCATTCCCAATTCTGGAAACATTTTTTTACGATTTGTGACAGGAAAATGAATTCCAGGGAAAAAGAAAAAGTGCAAAGAGAACTTTCCATTTCCAGGTTAACATCCAACTGTAATGCCGCACATAAGACATGTACGGCACTCAAGTGGCAAAGAAAAGCTACATGTTAAATGCTATCAAAATATACATGGTACCCTGGTACCGATAGCCCCTCAGTAACAATACCGTACTACATGTACATGTGCCTACATGCACAGTCCTCTAGCAATAAGCTGTTGTTCATCACTTTTCCAAAAGTCACTGGACCTGAAATGTTTGAGAGGACAAAAGTGTTGACGGTATTTTTTACCTCCAAGCGAGCTATATTTAGTGCGGCCTGTACAAAAGAGCCACTTCGTGCGGGGCAACTTCCTGCAAAGTAAAAATACACTCGTGGAGAAACGTGCAAGATGAAGTCAGCATACCGGCATCATTAGTGGTATTAATCTATTTTTTTTTTTTTAAAAGACGTGACACAGAGAAAACAAGGTATAGTCACACTGATGATACCAAATCATGCTTATCACAAGGACAATTTAAGTCCCAAGTCTCTGTTTTTCTATAACTGAAAATGCAATGTACAGGTTACAACGAAGTAATTTTTGAAGTCCCAATGACCTTTGTAGCAATGTTACTTCACTGGACATGGATACTACCAGCGTTATGCAGCATACATGTGTAGACGTATATTCTTTTTGGATCACATGTACAGTAACTTCCTTGTAAAATAAGCTTGTTACTGTAAATAACATAAATGTACATGGTCCATGTACTGTACCGTTGGCTAAGAAGTTGGCTCAGAAGTAAGCGTGCACTGTCCGTGGACTGTCATTCCATGTACTGGAAACCCCAAGTGTGTATGTGTGCACTCCTGCTCTGGTATAAACCTGAAGGAAAAGCATCTGTATCATTCAGCGTGTGGAGAAATTCCCCATAAAATACCCCTGCGTGTCGTTAAAGTCACTTTCACATTCAATTTTGAGCCAACAATTCTTCACAAACCAACTACCGGGTACAGGTTTGTGCAATATCTAAGTACATGTACAACACACCTCTGGGGAGTCCTTTCTTTCGTGGATATCTTCTTAGTTTCATTTTGAAAGTCACCTCCAAACATTTTCTCTCCCTCCCCCCCAAAAATGTACATATTACCGGTCTGACAAACAACGGATAAATTCTGTTTTTCGAAGAACTCATAACATCCTGGTATGTTCCCTGCATTATCTGGCCTTGGAGAAACCATATAAACAGGAACTTATACCAGTCAAAAAATAAAAAAAAACAAAACAAACAAGCATGCTTTGTACGCATATAAGTAGGCTTATCTTAAAGGTGGGAATTAACATTTAATTTAAAAACAGTACGGAAACTTTCCCACACCATTTAAACATTTAGCCAACACTTAGCAAAGGCCCCGGCAGCCTCCCTTGGTGTTTTCATACACGCATATGCATAATTATACAGTTCAACAATGCACGTGGTCCAACCAATGTCAAAAGTAGATTGATGTCAGGACATTTAAACAAGTAGTGTGTATTGTTTTAGAATCCACTTTCTTCTCAAAAAGTACATGGATGCCAAAAGGGAGAAGTGTTCCGAACATTAGGTTACATTTCGTAGGCGTCGTTTGCAATAACAATGAACATCAGATTGCATCAATCAAAACGCCAAACCTCTAAATGGGGCAGTTCCGATGAAACGTTTGGGAAAATCTGCATAATTTTGGAACTTGTTTTCATAAAATGTCCCACCTATATATTGGCAAGAAAACTGTACACGCCTAATGCACTGAATGACACATGTACATGTACACAGATAGTACATGTACATGTACCGTACTTTAGGTACTGAAGTGAAAAAGAAAGGCTTCCAGAAGTGATACCAGTCCATTCATATTTGATTGAGAATTATTCAAAGGAAAATAGACACTGAAAAAATCTTGACATCATGTAATGAAAATTCCACTGAAGAAAGTGCATGCGATGTTGCTTATTACCAACAGGAAAGTACAGTAAATGTACCGGTATCACAAGACGTTGATTGTGCATTCTCCTGGATAGATTTTTTCAAGCTAAAAAGTTGTATTTTTCGCTATCCTGGTTCTGTGGTTGTATGAGTTGTATCAAAGCAACGCCAGTACAGTGGACACAAGTCACAAGTACTGTACTGTGTCTTTTACCAGGTTCTTATAGAAGGCCAACCAACATTTTGTCGTTTGAAAATTCAGACTTACATGTATCAGAAGAAATGTCAGACTTATCAGAAGAAATGTCAGACTTACCAGAAGAAATGTTAGACTTATCAGTAGTTTCAAATGGTATCCAGATTTCACGCTTTTCAGAACATGCGGCAGGCTGAGATCCAACTACATGTACATGTACTAATACATGTACAGTACATGTACTACTGCAAATGCACTACATGTTCATACACACATGTACATGTACACATGTACATGTTTGTACAGTTTGTCTCTAGAGACACTCAGGGAGGTACCTTTCTTCACTGTTTTCAAGAACCGATGGGTGTAGTGTTCACTAGCAGGCCAATTCTGATGAACACGACCTTTTTTTTTTTCTCAGAAAATCACTATACCAGTGGTACCGTAGTTTTCTTCATTATGGAACTTCAAGAAGGGCATCTTTTCAACAAAATGACACAATCAAGAGGCAATTTACGATTCCTTGAAGGCTGAGCATCTACGGTGTGCCTGTAAAAAACGATGAACTACCGGAGTTAAAATTGCATGCGGTTTAATATAAAGCTGCGACTGTACTGTATGTAATTAATGAAGATGCCTGTCCCATTATCCAAATCCAAGTTATAACAGAGCTACTGGTACATTGTATGTGCTGGTATCTCACGTACACCTGTATACTGTGTAGTTTGGCCCCAGGGCAGGGAGTTTGAGATGTTTACAAGCAGTGCTGAGAACGCGGACGCAACTAACCAGGACTTTCCCACCCCTTTGTAAAATCCGTTATCCCGGTTCACTTTATTTCACAATGCAGTTCATAATAATCACAGATTTTCCCCCTCTCCCCCATACTCAGTTTGCATGTCCCATGCATCACTGATGACGCATATGGTGACACAGGGCTGAATTCAAACTCCGTCTAGAACAACAATCAATCACTGTGATTGTGAAGACCTTGGTGAAGCAACACAGAGGGTGTACGTGTACATGTACATGCAGTATTAATGTAACATCAGCCCAACCAATCACTGCGAAAAAAAAAGACGAACTGCGTGCACTGCAGCGGCGCAAATTAAATTTTCCAGTCCTCATGCGATGATGACAAACATGAATGTGTACATGTGCCGTATTCTTTGGGGGAATCCGGTAGATGTTTTCACACAGTTCAAAAACAAGGAAGCAACGGTGAACAGGTTTCTGCACAAAGGACCAAAAAACAAGTAATGTTTCCCGCTAGCCATAGTGCTTTTTGGGGCAACAATTTTGGGAAAATGGGAAAGTGAAAATTATCCGTACATAAAACATGTACAAAAAGAAAAAAAAATGCCTATTTAGTTTGATTAAGATGCAAAAAAAGTTAAACTAATACCTGAATAGCCAAGTGCTGTTCACTGTCAGGGTTTTCACTATGCTGGTTGGCACTTGTCACATGCGACCAGCATTCGAGCTGGCCGACCTGCACTGACAGTAAATTTCCACAATCCCACCAGCACAAAAAATGAAGAAAGTGTGTACATGTATATAAAATTTGATACACATGTACTGGCAGTTGGTGGAAATTAGAAACATAAACATTTATAGTCAAATTTCTGATGAGTTCAAACCTTTCTGGCACAAACAGTACTGGAGCGCAGCTGTGTAGCGTATAATACACAACATGGCAAATCCACAGAAATGGAATTCACCATGGACGGGCAGACAATTAAAGCAACACAGTCCACGCCCAGAAAATCTAAAGTCCTGAACATGGGAAAGAAATTTTGAAAAAGTGGCCAGATCAGGTGGGAAAAGTGCCAACTCGCTCTACAAACCTCGATATTTACAATTTTGGTATATCTATTACTTCATGTAGTTCGTTTTAACCTTAATCAGGAATTTCGGACAAATGTGTACATGTAGAAAAAGTAAAATTAAAAATGTCCACTGCCTAAATTGCAAGGGGAAAAAAAGAGAAATGGTTCTACACCAGGAGGCTGTAAACTGCACCACAGAGCATCTACATTCCAAACTGTGGGGAAAGGAGATAGGCCTACCAAGTCAAGTTGATGTGAGCAAAGTTAACACACTAATCCTTCTTTCTTGGATTGATTTCATTTCTTATTTCTTCCATTAAATACGGTACTGGTGGGTGAGAAGATTTTCCGATGCAGAAAAGAATAGCATACGTGTGTGTCATAAAAAGTCCTTTTAAGCCAGGGTCACAGGTGTCAGGTGATCTGATATGAAAATCGTTGAGTATGCATTGATGCGCAAGCACATGTACATGTACAAGGTACATGCATGTGCACACGTGCATACATGTACTGGTATACGGTTAGCTCGCGAGTGCATGCAGCCAGCATCTGGCGCAAAAAAAGGCCTCCACTAAAACATTCCAAACTACAACCCTGTTCATTTTATTTGAAACAATGGTCACTAAACCTCTCTTACTATTGTTAATTCTGAAAACCACACGTACACTGTACCATTACGATACGGTACCGGTAGGGCCTACATATCACTACACCTGACAGTGCCTGCTCATATTAGTATCCAAACAAAACTAACCTCTCTCATCCCTTCCCTCCAAAGAAATCCAACCATGTAATAGGAAGCTGAAGTTTTCTTCTTTTTTTTTAAACTACGTGTACATTTATACATGTATACGTGTTACATGAACCATACGCATATTTATTTTCAACTTCAATCTCTATTGTTTTCTGTACTTAAGTTACCCGTAGCATGACACTCGCCGGCAGCCCGGTGTGCTTCTGTGCATTTTTTCGATTTTGCTGCAGAGACACACTGATGGAAATCTTAGCTACATGTTCCATACATGCATGAAAAACATGGAAGGAATGTCCACACTAGCGGTAGATATCGGTAAGGTCTGCGTGTTGTTCGTCACAGTCATGTTTTTCCATCAAGGGGCAGCTAAAACTATGGCTCGCCATCAGTACAAAAGTAAAAAGAATAATTCGATCAGTGTTAAAGACCCCAAACCACTATCAGAACACCAAGAATCACTGCTAATGTGTATCAGGAAGCATGGATATATCAGTCATGAACAGCTTTTGGAAAAGTTGAAGTTTGCATACAAGGTGACTACTGGCAAGTGCGGCTTAAATGTGCTAAAGAATATAAGAGTAGAGACTTTGGGCATAAACTGATGGCTGCTGAGGTCTTTATGTCATAGGGGCCTACTAGCAGAAGTGACAAGGTTCGGTCAATCGTCCAAGTCTAGTGTTTAAAGGAAGGTGAACGTGGCTAGCTAGCTGGACGGACGTTGCGGTCCGTATTGCAGAGGTGGCGTAGCGAGGGTAATCACATATTCATAAGTCATGAAACATGAATTATGCATAGAGCATTCTATTTTCTTTGGGGGGGTGCAGTTTTGAGAGTGTAACTTTGCCAGCAAGACGTGGGCCTGGCCAGGCCATTTTCCACAACCACCGTGGGAAGAAGTAGAAGAAAAGGTTGACAACATGTAATTGCCAGTTGCATGTGGCAAAGTTGCCATATTTGTGTGCAGTATTCTAAAGTGGAAGGCCTACGAGTGTATTTCAAATATCAGTTGAAGTCAACCTTTCTTCTGTGTTCTGGATGGAATGTGCAGCAATCAAAATACAGTGCTGAAGTTGTCTTGTGTCCATACTCGTACATGTATGTCCAATAGGAAATGGTTATCATGTACTGAACATTAGGCCCTCTAAAGTAAGGGTATTTATTGACAGGTTGTCAATGATGGGACTCACTGTAAGCAAATTACAAAATTGAAAGGACTGTCACAGATGAATTGCATTCCTTTCTGTAGTCAGGCATCTTCGCACAATAGATTAAAAGGTATTGAAATGAGCTGAAGGATTTACGGCAGTATTGAGCTCATTTCAAAATGTGTACCTTTGCATCTATTGTGTGGTCACAGTAGACTGCAGGAGGGAATGTACTGTGGGCAACACACGTGGGCCAGAGGCCGGTTAGCATAATGTGCGTTGCTGTGTGCACAGTACAAAATGCACGTTGAGGCTACGGGTACATACATGTACATCACGGCTCTCGGCTGAATCATTTAGTAGGCCTACCAGTACATTAATACGTTTGATCTACCGGTAAATTGAGTGACCTCCATGGACCATCATGTGACCACTGGCCGAATCCTGTGTAAACTGTACATAAGGCTTGATGCAGAGATGAAAACGATCAAGTTCCACATTTGGACACCCAACAGAAAAACTTTTTGAAAAAAATGACCCCCCACTGATGATTAGACGACCATCAGCAAAATTCTGTTAACCACCCACACGGTGTTTCCTGCAAAGATGTAAATGTCTTAATTTGAGACTGATTGAGTCATGACTGGGGTGAGAAAAGTGACTATGTATTTTTAACGCAAATGACCACTAGTGAGCACTACATAAAGGTGATCCTTGACCCTATATGCTGGTCATTTAGGACAGGAATCGTATTAAGGAAGATTAAGTCCAGATGTGGCTGAAGTCGGCAAAGGAAGGTGGCAGATAGGGATAGACATAGCAAAACTGGCGAGTATTTGACCACGCGATGAAAAACAAATGATCCCTGATGACCATTAGGTGACCAGTGGCCAAATTCTGTGAACATCCAATCTGAGGCTAATTGTTCCAAAGCTGTGTGCCTAAATGGTCAATTTTGACAATAATTGGACCAAGACTGTGGAAGAAGGAATTTGTAATTTTGAAGAAAATGACCACTAGTGACCACTAGGTGACCACTGGCCAAACACGCTAGTCACTACACACGAGACTCTGGCCAAGCTAAATTCTGTCCCAATTTGGCTGAAATCGGGGGGGGGGGGGAATGAATTTGGAAGATACATGTATTGCATTTCTTGTAAGTACATGTGTATTTTCCCGAAGAAAGAAAGTCGACAATCAGAGTACCGGTATCAGCCATGCAAAGTGTAATATATAAAAATACAAGTGCTACCAGTACATATCAAATCCTACATGACAAGTGCACATTTTGAACAGATTTGAGATAAATCAAAAACCAACCAAAGCGTGACTGCTGACTGCCCATACAAATCGTAGTCAAAATGAGAGTATTCTATAGCGTAAGGTAATATTGTGGGCAGACCTTCACCATGCTAAGGCCACGATTGCTATTGTTACATGTATATGCAAAATAGGTGAAATAACGCATGTT